TCCACCAATGGATGACTGGATAAAGAAGATGTGCTTTATTTATACAATGGAATACTACTCAGCCATAAAAACCGACAACATAACGCCATTTGCAGCAACATGGATGTTCCTGGAGAATGTCATTCTAAGTGAAGCAAGCCAGAAAGAGAAAGAAAAATACTATATGAGATTGCTAATATGTGGAATCTAAAAAAAATAAAAACAAAGCATAAATATAAAACAGAAACAGACTCATAGACATAGAATACAAACTTGTGGTTGCCAAGGGGGCGCAGGGTAGGAAGGGATAGAAGGGATTTCAAAATTGTAGAACTGATAAAGATTATACTGTATAGCATAGGGAAATATACACAAGATCTTCTGGTAGCTCACAGAGAAAAAAATGTGACAATGAATATATATATGTTCATGTATAAGTGAAAAATTGTGCTCTACACTGGAATTTGACACAACACTGTAAAATGATTATAAATCATAAAAAATATTAAAAAAAAAGAAAAAAGAAAAATGTGGCTTAGTGGGGAGGATATAGTTCAAGTGGTAGAGTGCATGCCTAACATGCACAAGGTCCTGGGTTCAACTTCCAGTATCTTCTCTAAAAACAAATAAATAAATGAACCTAATTACCTCCCCCCCAAAATTAAAAATTAAAAAAAAAACAAACAAAAAGAAAATGTGGCTTATTATGAAGTCCAATGGTTTTGAATTTATAGCATTTTAAATCTTAATTATGTAAGCTAATACCATTAACCATTGATGTTTGAGCCCATATTTGGAAGACAGTCAATGTTTAATGACCTCTTATTTCATAGCGTAATTCTACTTCTGGGAAATGTTCTTTGTTTAACAAGTTTTGTTCTATAAGTGTTGCTGCTGCTTTGTGCAGTAGCTCTGTGCCCTCTCAATCTTCATAGCCCTTTAAGATTTGGAAAGTAAATAAACTGAAATCTTATTTTCAACAGCCATGTTCAAATTCTGGGTTTTTTTTTTTTCACATTTCCTCTAAACTATTAAAAAAAAAGCATAAAGTGTAAGTAACTTTAACCACCCAAAAGCAAATGTTTTCCAGATTCCCTATTGCAAATAGCCCAGCCTTTATTCAACCACACTTTATTTACCCAGGTGCTGTGTGTCTGTGGTTTGCATGTATGTGTAATTTAGCTTCTCAGAACATAAAAAGCTTTTCACAACAGTTTTTAACCCATTGCCGCTGGGCACTTGGGATTTCCTGGTTAGCAATACATCAGGAAATCCTGACTGCTCCTACCACTGAGTAAAGGAGTAAAGGTCAGTCATGGCATTTGTCCCTTTCCTTACACTGGCTCTCCAGAGAGGCTCCCACCAAGATTGATAAATTGCTGCCTGGTGACAGCAAAGACTCATGAACCACGCCTGCAAAACTGGCCAGCAGAGCCTGGAGGAGACTGCAATGGTGAGGGCATTCTTAGCTCCCCAGACACTTATTGTCCTTTATTTTTAGGATATACTTCGTTTACACTCACCTTCAAAGTACTCAGCTCTGCTTACTGATACCATAAGGCAAATGATTTTACGATGACCCCATGTTTTGCCATTTGAAGGATGGCTTTCATTCAAAAGCTCTAATGAAAAGCTTTGTTCTATGCTCCTAGAACTTTATGTACTCAGCGAGAAAGGCACTTTTCTTGACAAAAAAAAGAAAATTCCCTATACTTCTGAAGCTTTTACTCCTTTAAGATTTCTTCATGATACCTGGTAGTGTATTTTAAAGGGATCAAATGTTAAATCCAGTATTTCATAATCTTAGTCAACCTTCCATCTCCACACAAATGTTCAGAATATAAGCATGTGTTTGTTGTATACAAATAGCTATTTCCATTTTTTCAGACATAAAAACTTGATCTTTCTGTGCAGAATGACCAAGCAGACTCATTCGATCAGTGACATGACATACGTGCAAAAGGATTCGTATTCTTTATGACAGCTTCTCTTTCAGTCTGGCCTCAGCTGTGGCACGAATGTTCACACTAATGCCATCTGTGAAGGTCAGGTGTACAGTGGCTAACTATGACCCAGTCACGAGAAGCAAATAACCAGGAATTGGGAAAACTGCAGGGATGCAGGGAGGTCACTGAGCAATGAGAGAGCTGTGATCACAGATGATACTCTCAGAGGGGTGATGTAGGAACATATAGGTATGGACTCTCAGGCCACCTGAGCACCTCAGATGGAATCCAAACAATTGTCAGTGAAAGGTTTGGCCCGAGGTCAGAACAATTTGTTTGTTTGTAGAGGGCTATGGAGTAGATGACCAAATAAACAAGCTTACTAGGAAAAGTGAGGTAAGAAATGGTACATGGCTTGGAGGAAGGGAAGCTTTAAGGGAGCAAACTTCTGACCTTCTGCTCTATAATTCTTGCTTGAGCTCCCTTCCACACTGGCATACGGAGGGTCAGCAGTGCTGGAAGTCTGTCCAGGTAAGCAGTGTGGCTGTCTACACCACCTGACTTTAAAAGGATAACATCACCAAAGGAAACCTTTTATTTCAGGTGAACATCAGCATTTTCAAATACAACTTTTTTGTCTTAGGTTCCTTAGTAAGTCTTTTTTTAAATGACTGGATGATCTGGAAACATCTGAGAGGTTGTGCTTTCCTTAGAGTGTTCTCTGCCACACTGAGTAGCTTTCTAGCAATGGTGTGACTTGCAGCTCACTATCCACCATTCACTGACTGCCTCTTATCCCTTGATGACCTATCGCTGGGAATAACATGACATTTGGGGCTTTCTTTTCACTTATTGGGCTATACCCTTAGTATTAGTCAAATAGCACATTTTGTGATGAGCCAGCAACTCTGGATTCTTGGTTGTCCAACCACATAATCACCAGGACTGTAACCACCAGATACTAAACTTACACCTTAATTCTAATTACAAAATATATGCAACTTTTTGAGAACTCTAATGTAGCTCAAACCCTTCAGCAGCAACCTTATTTCTTAAATTAGCAGTTTTAAGGAACTGTGACTTTTTAAGGAACTGTGACT